TCTTAGTATCTTGTCTTTGTCTGTGGTTTTGGTCAATCTGGCTATAATATGACTTGGAGAAGATCTTCTTGGGTTGATTCTATTTGGGGTCCTTTGTATTTCTTGGGACTTGATCTTTGAGTGCCTCTCTAGCTTTGGAAAGTTTTCTTGTAGGATTTCATGGAATAGACTCTCAGTGCCCTTATGAGTCTCTTTGCCTTCTGGGATATCAATTATCTGTATGTATGGACATTTGATGGTATCTAGTATTTCTTGTATAGTATTCTCATGTTTTTGGACAATTTTCTCAGTCTTCGTGGTGGATTTTCCTATGCCAGTAATTCTGTCTTCTGCAACTGAGATTCGCTTTTCAGTGTGATCTAGTTTGCTTTGAATAATTTCAAGGGAGGTTTTGACTTCTTGTGTTATAGTCTTCTTCTCTAACAAGTCCATTTGATTCTTTTTTAAAGAGTGTAATTCCTCTTTTAGATCTTGCAAGAATTTCCTCACCTCCTGAAGTTTGTCTGCTTCTTTCCTCTGCCTCTTTGGCAGTTCATTGACTCTCTTCTCTTCAATCTCTGTGAACTTTATCACCATGAAAATTCTAAATTCTTTATCAGACATTTCCATGAATTTCATCATACTACCTGAGGATGAAGAGGACTTATTTTTCCTTGGAGGAGAGGTGTTTTCTTGTTTTTCCATATTTCTTGTGATCCTGCGGTGATTTCTAGTCATCAGATGGATGGTGCATTTCTTCTAATTTTTGAAGTTCAGTCTGAGTGTTCAGAGGCGTGCAGGAGGAGGTGAACTGCAATCTCTCTTCCATTCCATTCTCACTCTTTGTGCATCAGAATCAGTGGGAATAGAGGAATATTCTGACCCTAACTGTATTCAGATGTATAGATTCTGTTCACTTGTACCTGTCTAGGCACTTAGTGAGCAGAGGCAGAAATAAGTAAGGAAGAAGTCTCAGCAGAAAATCTTCATTTTAAGTCTCTGAAAGAACTAGGTCACAGCTGAAGTTCAGGATCCATGTGGAGGTGGGCCTGGGCTTGTGCCTTTCTAGAAATAAAGGAAGAAGTCTCAACAGAAAATCTTCATTTTAAGTCTCTGAAATCACTAGTTCACAGCTGAAGTTCAGGATCCATGTCCTAATGTGCATTTTGTATGAACTCCTTTAAGACCCTTGTACATATTCAAGAGTTTCTCTAGGCTACATATATAGGAATAGAATTCCTGGGTCATGGAATTACATAAATGTTTTAACACTTTATAACGTAGTGCCCAATTGTTTCTCCAGAGTGTTGTACCAATTACAACATATAAGAATTTCCATATACTGTTTGCCAACATTTTAAAAATTTTGCCAGTCAAGTACTCATAAATTATCATTGCATTCTATTATAGTTTCATTTTGTATTTCTCTGATTACTTACATATATTGAGCCACTTATATGGTTCTTGACCATTTTTGTTTTCTCTTCTGGGGAACACTTGTGTCTTTTGCCCATTTATTGTCTTCTTACTGATTTGTAGTTTTGAATATATTCCAGATACAGATCTTTTCTCTGTTGTATGTATTTTTATGTGTTTTGCTTTATGATATCTGTGATACATGGAGATAATTAGGATTAATATAGTCAAATATATATTTATATATGTATTTTTTTGGGGGGGGAGAGATTTTTTGCTATAG